TTTTTAAAGTGAATAAGAAAAAAGTAATTTTTATACAAGTTATTCATTGTACATCTTTTTTCCAAAAATATAACGTTTGGTAATCTTAATACTAATAATATGTATAAGAAATTTATTATATTAAAATTACGATAAGTTTTCGAAATTCAAATAATACCCCCCTTAAAGGACATTTCGAAACACTGGAAATTTATTGGTTGTAATTTGATGAAACAACAAACCTAACTTGTTCACTCTAAATTACCGACTGCAGTAGAAATGCAGTCCCTCTGTTGACAAATATGTGAACTGCACTTTCTCTCTAAACCATCACAAATGAAATGCCAATTCTTACATTTAGTTTATAGTAAGATCGTGTCCGGCGCGTATGTAACGTGTCACGAAACTAGAATATTATGTTTCGTATATAAATTTGCGCAATGAAATAATAAAACATATATTATTAAACTATAATATTATTGTTAGTTGATAATATATACTAGGTTATGCTTATTCTCATATGTGATCGATATTTCAGTGAAGAAAATGTGAATAAATATCATATTTTACAATAATTAATAGTGTGTCTAGTAATACTTGCATTTAACGGAAGTATGTTATCACAGTTATTATACTATGGTATGTATTTTTCTTTCTTTTAATAAACTAAAATCATTAAATCATTCATTATTTTAGAAAGAGAAATATAAAAATCTTATTCATATGACCGTGTAATACTTTTTTAATACTTGTATGATTATTGTCAATGAAAAGGGTCAAGTAGCTACGTCCCTTTTAACAACGCTGATTGAATTAAATAGTATAAAAAGAATATTGTGAAATATTGTATCGAAATAGTTCAATAATCACTGATACGTAAAATAATAAAAAAGAACACCTTCACTTATAGTAACCTTAAATGCCGGTGAAATTCAAATCATATATTTTATGTTATGAAATATATATATATATATTGTTAATATATTTTAATATATCGATATATTGAATCAATTCAGAGTATCAAAAGAATATATATTAGAAATAAATTTTTAAGTTATAATTCTTTTTCAATAACTATTTTTTCTCGAATTTCTAAAGAAAATTTACAATTTTTACATGTTCAAATAAATAATTCTATTTTTGTAAAAAATTTGCATTATCAGACTTTTTGTATTGTTGAAACATTAATATATGTATTTTTGTTTTACGTAAAGTAACAATTCATTTTATTGATTATATAAAAAGTAGCGAAGGCTAGTAGCGATTTTTATGTCATGATAAATTTTGCATTGTATCTGACTATATAAACACTCGAAAGCCTTCGGTTTCTTTCAGTTTCTCGATATATCGTGAAATGTGAACATGTCATAAATTTAAATAGGTTTTAAATGAGTTTTTCTTATATGTATATTTTATGAAACTTATCACCATATTTTGTTCATTTAAAATATATTAGTGCGCGTAATTATCTATTATGTGTTTTATTGAAAATTGAGTTTTTTACGAAGTAAAAATTATAATTTTTAAAAATTATTTTTATATTTACTTCATGTATAGATTATTTATATTTTTTTTTAAAGGTACATAATTTACAATGGCTTTCGATGCAATAAATAACAAAAAATGGCAGTCAAAAGGTGGACAATTAAATAAATTTATTAAAAAACGAATACCTATCGTGGGATGGTTATCAAATTATAATTCCGAAAAATTTTTAAATGATGCTATCGCTGGCATCACAGTCGGGCTTACTGTTATGCCGCAAGGACTTGCTTATGCTACTTTAGCTGGTTTAGAACCTCAGGTGAATTATATTTTTACGAACAAATTTTATTTCTTACTTTATTTTATTATTTTTTAACTTATTTTATTATTTTTTATGAATAAATTTATTTCCAAATTTATAGAAAATATATTTTTTCTATAGTATGGTCTTTATTCTGCATTTATGGGAGCTATGGTATATATAGTATTTGGTTCATGCAAAGATATTACAATTGGACCCACTGCTCTTATGGCATTAATGACTCACGAGTATGTTCAAGGTAGAAATGCGGATTTTGCAATATTATTAGCCTTTTTATGTGGTTGCTTACAACTATTAATGGCCTTTTTACGGCTAGGTAATGTTATTAATACAAATTTTTTAAGAATACAGTATTGACACTTATTTGAAATTGCAAAATTTCTTTACAGGAGTACTTATAGATTTTATTTCAATACCAGTCACAGTTGGTTTTACTTCTGCAACATCTATTATAATTGTAGTTTCTCAATTGAAAGGTCTTTTGGGATTAAAAATTTCCTCACAAGGAACCTTAGATACTTTAACAAAAGTATTACAGAACATTCATCAGACTAGATTATGGGATACTTTGATGAGTTTTTCCTGTATCACTATTTTATTATTATTTAGGGTAACAAATGCATTTTCATTCATTAATTTTTTTTTTTTAATTTTACTTGATTAGTTTTAAGTATAAAATAAAATATCTTTACTGTTTAGAAAATGAAAGATATCAAGTTATATTCAAACAATGATAAACTAAATAAATATCAAAGAATATTGATGAAAATGATATGGTTATTATCAACAGCTAGAAATGCTGTTATTGTTATAATTTGTTCTACTATTGCCTACAAATTAAATTCTATTGAATATGGTTCTCCATTTATTCTTACTGGTCCTGTAAGATCTGGTCTTCCATCTTTTGGATTGCCACCTTTTTCTACTCAAGTAAAAAATGAGACTTTAAGTTTCATCGAAATGTGTTCAGAATTGGGTGCGTCCATAGCATTAGTACCTATAATTGGAGTTCTTGGAAATGTGGCAATAGCAAAAGCCTTTGCAAATGGTGATAAAGTAGATGCCACTCAAGAACTGATTACATTAGGTATTTGTAATGTTCTTGGATCTTGCGCAAGTGCAATGCCAGTGACTGGCTCCTTTAGTAGATCTGCAGTAAATCATGCTAGTGGTGTAAAAACGCCAATGGGTGGTTTATACACTGGAATATTAATACTGTTAGCATTGAGTCTATTTACTCCTTACTTTTACTTTATACCAAAGGGTAATATAATTTTTCTTTATTCTTCTTATATTTTACATATTATCTCTAAATAGATATTATTTTCCTAGCTTCCTTATCTGCAGTTATTATCTCTGCAGTAATATATATGATTGAATATCAAGTTGTAAAACTCATATGGAAAACTAGTAAAAAAGATTTGATTCCAATGTTTGCTACTTTCTTGTTCTGTTTAATTATTGGAGTTGAATATGGAATTTTAATCGGTGTAGGAACAAATCTTATATTCTTATTGTATCCTTCTGCACGTCCTACAATACATGTTGACAAATGTACAGTGAGTACTGAATGAAAAATCAATAAATTTTTGTTTCTTAACTTATATGAATTATACATTTTAGACAACTTCTGGTGCTGACTATCTCTTAGTAACACCAGGAAACAGTTTATATTTTCCTGCTGTAGATTTTATTAAAAAGTCGGTCGGCAATGCCGGTATAAAACAAGGTTCTAGTCAAGTTCCAGTTGTAGTTGACTGCAGATATATTTTAGGAGCCGATTTTACTGCTGCAAAAGTAAATTTTTAAATAATTAAATATTATATAATAAAATATAACGAATTTGTACTATGAATATGATTATTGGTTGTAGGGTATAGCAACATTGATAAATGAATTTAACAATCGAAAACAAGGTCTGTATTTTTACAATCCGCGGTCGGATGTCATTGCTGTACTTAAAGGAGCTTGCGGAGAAGAATTTCAATATATTTCTACCGAAGATGAATTATTGTACCTATTATCGACGCATCAAGGTAATATAATATAAAATAATGCAACAATCAAAAGATGGCTAGTATTTTTCATCATTAAGTTTTTGATGGTATATCCATTTATAATAGGATATTTATAATAGGATAGATCTTATTGTTATTTTATAATTCGTATATTTAATTCTTATGAGTGTATGAAGACGTTATAAGTAACCAGATCTGCATTCCTTTTAATTTTTCATTTCTATATTTAATTTAATATAAATTAATTAATATAATTATTGCATATGTATTTATATCTTTTGATCGTTTTTTATTTTTAGATAAAACATCGCAACAACTTTTGGAAATAACACGTGATAAGTCGCATGAACCACTAATGTTAAGTAGTCCTGAAATCATTCATCGAAACAATCGTTCATGTCAAGAACTTAATGAAGTTACAACTACATTGTTACATGCTACAGCTAGTTAAAAAATAAATAATGTTACCTATATTAAATTCATTTCAAACTTAAAAAAGAATTTCAAACGAAAAATAATTTTTAGATTTTTTATGAACATTTTTCATAAAAATTGTATCTTCGAATTTTTTTTTAATTTTTACACTTTTTTTTAAATAGTGACGCACTTCATAGGACATTGAATAATTTCCAATATTATAGAATTAAATTTAAGAAATTGTGCATGACATTAATTAAGATGTAAATATACGTAACTTTGTATACATAAATGAAATCTATTGTATTTCTTTCTTTTTCTTCATATTTTTTAATTAAGAAATAAATAATATGTTGTGTAAATATTTACGCGTTATATTATTTATGCACATCTATGTTTCATAAATTACAGTCTTTTTTTTTTTTTTAATTCAATATAATTATAGAGGTATATTCCTTATATATAAAAAAGAATATATTGCACAGTCCACACATAAAAAACTTTGCAATTGGTATAATTTGTATAATTGTTCCATCACCAAAATATCTATCTTCAAATATTTATCAAAATATTTATCAATTAGTATTAATTACAATATAAATTAGTTTGTTAACTTCGCCCATAATATTTAATTATCATTGCACTGAAATATTATGTTCGTTTAATCGCAAATTGAGATAAATTAAAAATTTAATTTCGATACTTATATGTATCGAACATAAAAAAAAAGTACGAAATATTTTCAAAAATTAAAAAAAAAAAGAAAAAAACATTTAAAATGATTTCTATACAAGAATATATTCTATTATATAGTATATACAATACCTCATAGACTGACATGAGGATATGAACAGGATTAGATGATCTAATCCTAATTATTTAAAGATTACTTTTAATAAAGCCCTGAAACAATATCAGTAACTTTTGCACGATTTCCATTTGAAGAAGAAGCCGTGTTTCGTCTTCCAATTGGACTTTCTTTTATCTGTTGATTTCCCGAATATTTTCCAGCATTAAATCGACTTTTTCCTAATCCAAACGTATCATAAGTTCGTCCAGCGAAAATCCCTGAATCCATTGATTTATTTAAAAATCTATTACCAATATTTTCATTCTGACTGAACGAATTGTGTCTCACTCCATTCTTTATTAGTATCATTGGAGTACAACAATCAAAATCTAATTCGTTGTTTTTACTCGAAGAGTTTAACTTATTCCATTCTCGATTTCTTTGTTCTTCGTACAATTCATCACTTCTTAATTGCTTATTGCTTACATGTCCGGAATAAAATTCATCATTTTTCAAATGTTTATTCTTTGATTCTTCTCTCCTTCCCTTGGATCCCAATTCGCAACAACTTTTTGATTCTTCTAATCTACTCGACTTCGATCTAACGAGTGTTCTCTCTTCTCGAGATTTTTTCGTCTTGGATTGATATTTATTCGAATTCCATTGATTTTTCTCTTCCATGATCACGATATCGATCATCGAATCCAGACCTTCATCAATTCTATCCAAAGATTTGGTTAATAGATTAGGAGATTTTGGTGCCTCGATGGATTTTGGTTTTCGCGTTATCAGAGGTTCAAGATTGAAATCTGTGACATAAAATAAACCACTGTCGCTTCCACCTTGCGAGGAACACTGGTCTTTTTTAGCGATATAAGATACATGATGGAACGATTCCGATCTGCGCATTCTATTCCTCGAATTCTCTTCTCCAAAGAATTGTTCTTGCTTGCTTAGATTTTCCGAGCTACCGTGTCTCTCATAACTCTGGAGACTTCGATGCTCGTCGAAAGAATTCAAACTCTCGAATTTCCTGATGTGATTTTCTATTCTGCTTTTATTAGATCTTTTCGATCGCGAACTGGAAGCACTTGATTCGAGGTAATCGTGACTGGCCGATCTACGAAGAAGCTTTCTTTTTTCCACTTCGCTTCTATATTTCGAATTATGTCTTTGGGATACACCGTCCAATTGCCTGTTGCTCGATTTAGAGTCATTCGTCGTTTTGTTTTTCGCATTACACGACGTTTCGTAATTCCTCATTGTTTTCTTATCCTTTATTTCGCTCTCACCGTCGAAGCGTCGAAGATCGTTGAAGCTTTTCTTCATCTTACCATCATTGTTATTCTCCGTTTCTTTCCTATCGCACTGTTTCTGAAAATGATCGACCTCGGTTTTAATCCGTTCCTCGTAAGTCTGGTTCTTACTGTTGTACTTGAGTCGAGAAGCACTAAGGAGAGAGTCGCTACCATCGCCCAACGTTTCGTCTTCTATATCTTCATCGTGAGAATTGAACGCCTCTTCTTGATCGATAAAGTCACAATGCCTTACTGCCATGATAGCCGACAAACAAGGCGGTGATCTTCTAGGTGGCTGAGGATGTAGAATAGTTGGAACGATCGCTTCCTCGACTTCAGGTCCCTTCACAACGATCTTCACGCTTCCTTCCACCGAGGAAGACTTCGAAACTCTGCGTTTTTCGCCGTTCATTCTTTTATCACTGCTCGAATCTATACTATAATCTCGATCGTTACCAAAATAAGTCACCTGCTCTCCTTTGATCACACTCTGAGACATGTTGGAGCCCGTGTTCGTCGACATGGAAATCTTGGTGTCCGTTTGATGATCTCTCTTTAAAACCTTGTCGTAAATATAAGTATCGGAATTGTTCAAAGAAACTTTCGAATCGGTTCTATGCAACTTAATTTTCGAAGAATTCTCGTTATAAAAATTCGGATTCGCGTGATCTATTCGATTTTGTTCCCGGTTTTTGTCCCCGATCTCTTCTTCCGCATCCTTCACGATAATCCTCAGTTCTTCGATCACGTCATCGATCGTGGTTTCCTGATCATTATCCGGAGACACGTTCATTACTTTTTGATTCGTTCGAGATTGATGCTTCGTATTCTCCGGGCTACTCGATCTCTCCGACGAGCTGATACCCTCGTCTTCCGCGTTCGAGGACATTTTCGGCGACTGTTTCGTCGTTCCAAGAGCCGTCAACTTCTCACGCTCCTCCAGCTTATTATAATTGTTCAACTTCTCCAATTGCATCTGTTGAAGCTGCGTTTGCAGAGCCGAAACTTTTTTGCTCAGTATCCTACAAGTTTCCTCTGCACGTACGACACGTCGCTGTAGGGCGTCCACGTCCACGCAGTTGTGCGACCATTTCTGAACCTCCTTATGTAGAAGATCGTTCAAAGTATCCTCTTCCCTGCCGTCCAATTCTTTCAGCCATTCTTGAAGGACCTGCGGCTCTAGACCAGCTTCGCAGGCTTCGGCCTGCATGGCGAACAAATCGAACATTACTCGTCGTAAAAATCATCGAGGAGATAACGATAAATATTCCATACGTTGTACCTTACCTGAATGTATAATCTGGTTTGTGTTCGCGGTGCAGACTTTAGGAAGGCGTTAAGGAACGAAACTCCTGCCACTCTCAGTGCAATCGCTGCTCTGGGAGCCAAGAGAGCGCCAGCAAGGAAACGAAATCTTCCACCTTCGCCATATTTTAACCTAAGGGTGGAGACAGCTTCCGAAACTACAGCATGACCACCTGGCGTTTGACAGACCTTGGTCAACAACTGCAAGATTGACAAACAAGTTCGAGAAAAATGTTAAATATAGCATATATATATATTTTTATTTCATATATTTTCCCGAATGAATAAAATTGAAATTAGCGCCAGTTAATTAATTATTACGTATGATGAAAAATAAGAATTTTCCTGGTAATATCGGTGGTCGACAATTAAATCTAACCGACAGTTCCTCCACACCGTACGGATAAAGATCTCTTTATTCTCATTATATTCTTCCAACGCTATAACTGCGTGATCACGTGCCGTGGAAGTAATTATCCAGTTCGGTTAGTCAACATCTGATCGTAACCGCGATGCTTGGCAAACTGCACTTCCTCGGACGGTAGAAAATAAAAGGCAGGCGAAAAAGTCTAAAGGCGTGTATAAGTTTGCAAATGAAGCTAGCCGAATAACGTTTGGATAAGATGATAAAAACTGGTTCTTGACAAGTGTACGTTCTCGAAATAACGGAGCCCCGGAAGTGGACCGAGTTTGCTGGAAACGTTTGCGTTTACGACTATTTGAATGAGTCAGATGTAGCATCTAAGAAACGTACACATCATCAGAAACTTGACCCACTGCTATCCCCATTATTGAGTTATTGAGTTATTATTTTTCGATTCTTTTCAATCCTGCATTTCAATCCTCGCTACATTTCGAAAACTATCACGATCAATTTTATCGCGAATTAGTTAATCATTACTTACTTAGTTTTAGAATTATACGCGAATTTATTTGCAAAACGATAAAAGCGCGCGATAAATCATAACAGATTCAAAATGTAATAACGGTTATTTTATTACGAGATTAAATCGAAGGATCTGAAACGAACACAGAATAAAAACGGAACTAATATTAATATTACGATTAAAGTGTTTATGAAATGATAACGCGAGATAAGCGAGAGAATCGTTTGAAACAAAACCCACGAAACGAGAGTAATATTCCACGTATGATTCCAGTTCAGTTCTTTTTTGACTAACAGTATCCAAGCGATATACTCGGAACGGAAGTGACGATTGTTACCTGGAGAGCTAGGACTCGAGACCGGTTCAAGCTACTAGTCAGACAAACTGCCAGAGCGAGAAGACCGGGTTGAGCTTGCACTAGGAGCCTTGGTGCATCGCTGCATCGTTCGGTGCAGGCAGCCAGACACTCGACACAACCCAACTCGTCCAAAGCGGCTCTTCTGGTTCCTACTCTTGGCCCCGTGTGGCCGGAAGAGGGTGGTGAACTTTGGGCCAATTGGACGCCGCGAAGCGTCTCGAGCAATAAGGTTATCCCATCAGCTGGCGGTGAAGCGAATTCCTGAACGAAGCTGTAAAATAATTTTATTCGTGTATTTCTTTCTTTCTTTTTTCTTTTTTCGATAAAATAATAAAACGAAACGAGATATTTAACCGAATGCGCAGAAAAATTTGTATCTATGATGCATAATTTAATTGCGAATGTATCTTCGTGCGCTCGGCCGGAAGTATCAATAACGGTACGACCATTTTTGCCTCGAATATATATATTCCTTATTTATTGCGTATGTACAGTCGTACATGGTATATATAGCTCGCAGACATCCTGTCATTCGTATTTCTAATATTTTATCATCTTTTAATTCCAATTCATGCACCTCTGAAAGTGAATTACTTCGATCTTTGACAAAGTTGCACGTTCTTTATAATGTTAAGAGAAAAATAGATTGGTAAATAATGATTAAATTAGACGTTGATGTAGTTGTTTAAACGATGAAACGTTATACGCGAGTCTGCGTGTGTCACTGCATCAATCAATCCCGCTATTTGATAATTTAACGCAGAACGAAAGTATATCGCGGAGAGGGTACTGTAACAGACATTGAACTGTGTAGACGCGATGGAAAAAAGTATAATTACATAATTATGGGACCTTGCGATTAAAAGAAAAAGCAATCCGGTTTTATATAAGCGCGCTGTTAAAGCGAGTTCCCTCGAGGTTGTCAACGGAACACCATTATGAGAGTGACGGGGCAAGAACTTGATAACTATTAATGTAATAAATACGAGGAGGCGGACGAGAAAATATACTTCAATTAAATTACACGCTTTTCAAGTTATTCCAACATTATTATTAAATATAAATTTCCAAATACATTATGTAAAAGTAAATGCATTAAGTGCCGCCAAATTGTCTCATCAAATTTGCCCCCTCGACGTCGTTTCTCAACAAATTTTCGTCGTTCCACGCGTATATAAGTACGTTGATGATCAATTTTCGCAGCTTCGGGTATCGACCGGTGTCCATTATTGGTACTTTATGCTCGATTATCGTTCATCTAGAATTCTCGTTAAGATATCACTTTACGACATATCGATCGTTCGATCAAGAACAGGAACGCGATGCCTGTGCGCTCGCAACCATGCCGAGCAGATGCGTATATATGCGATGCGATGGCCTTAAGGTAGACAGGTGCAAGGACGAGGAAATAGATATTACAACTGTCAAAGAGTGACGGATCTACGAAGAGAGTTTATTTCGAATCGTGTTTCGTCTTCCACGAATAGATTCTCCGTAATGGACAAGATCTCTATTTCTCTGATCGTGTCATGTTAGTTTCCTTAATTATACAGCAGAGACACGTGTAGCACTGTGTGTGCATCAGCCAGTCCATTTCAACTTGATACATTTTGCACTAGTCTGCCCGGGATCCCGTGAGAATTTCTTGCCAAGAGAACTTTTATCACTTTCTATACAGTTATACCGTTGCGCAATCGTATTACGTTGCAATTACAAGAAAGTATACGTATAAAATAAATTAAAAATATAAATTAAAAAAAAATTACGAAATTATTAAAAATTATCATCAGCGTTAATCTATACACGCTCAAGGCCAAGATAAGATTAAATGCAAAACAACTGCTTAATTGTAACTACGCAATGTCGGAATTATCGTGCATTATCCGTATACATTATATCCGTATATTGGACAAAATACGACGAAATAGAGATAAAGATAATATTTCTATAATTATTGACCTTGGTATTTTTTTTACACGCACGTGAATGTTAATTATTTTGTCGCGATTAGCAGAAATTTCTGGTTCAAAGTGTAACTTTATTATATCAATTGTACAACGTTACCGAATATTTTGGTAGAATTGGAGAATCTGCAATTTGAAAATTTCATCGTGCATCGTCGGGCAGGCGAGAAAGGAATTCCAAATCCAAAACGCAATCCCCGTGTTCCAAATTTTTAGCGAGGTGGGTTACGCGGCAAACAGTCGTAAATCATTTCGTGGCTCGCACCTACGGAAGATTCTAAAAGGAACCGGGCTATTCACGAGGAGACGTTCCTCGTCTAGACGGTGATTCTATAAACACCGTATATAAGCGCCGTGTACGCAAGTTGAATGCATGCAAATGAGTATTAAAACGTTTTCTATGTACCCGTTTATGTATGTGCTCGTCGCCTATTTACCGGTGGGTAAACAACAGAGAGAGAGAAAGAGAGAGTTTTCTCGTCCAACAATAGACGCATTATGTTACCCGTCGTATTATGCATATACTACTGCCGGCTATATCGTGATACGCACGCACGTGTGTATAAATGTACGTGCGCGAAATACACCGAGGCATTACGATTCTACGCCGCGAACACCGTGGATCGCCTTTGTTGGCCTTGCCTTAAAAATACGCGAGGGCCCCCATTTGGATTCTGGAGAAAATGAAAGCTCGTGCGTGAACGAGAGTGACGGTAAAGGATATGGTAAGGAGTGGACGTGACCGCAGACCACCCTATGCATTGCTCTTATAACCCTTTAGGTCCTCGCTTACGTATCCTTACTTTCTTCTTACCGCAATTTTTAATCCAAATACGCTTATATCAGAAACTTGTATGCAAAATATAATACTGAATATTTGGGAAAAAAAAATACGAAGAGTTGTTACAAAGTAACAAATGTCGAATAAATTAAATATTGATGTTTCCGAATAGCTGGTATTATTTTGAGTGGTATCTCAAAAGAGTCGAAAGGAGGATTCGCGAGTTCCAAAGTTATCTAATTTCATTCGTACGCGAGTGTCAAAGATATAAACGATACTGCAAAGTACTCGGGAAATGAAAGCGTTGCGTTAAATTCCTCCGATATTTTGCATAATTGATAAAATGCTCATCTTTTCGAGATCGTCTCTTCGATTTAGATGTAGAATACGATGAAAGATATTTCTGGATTTTTACGCTATGATAATATATTCGTAATAATAAGCGATCGACGAAGTTGCGTGCAACGCGCGAAGGAATAGAGGTATAAAGAGGTATTCGTTTTAAAGAGAACGACTTTGTTATCGAAAACATGCTTTCTTGGAGATGTCATGCGAACCTTCGTCCAGCAATGGATTGCATTATATTACACCCCGCATTATGCAGAGTACGACGTACACGTAAGAATGCCTTCGGCAGACGCGGTATGAATATCAAATGTTCCTTATTGCCTGGTGTGTGGGCACACCCTAAAATTTAAGACGACGGACAACGCCAAGCAGAAGAAAACGAAAGCCTGTGTACCTTCGTCGCCCGACGTTTCTCTTTCATGCGATATTTTTGGACCTCTGTCCGAAGAATATTACGCAATTCATTCCCTTTTAGTTTCTTTTTCACGCGCGTTTTTTTTTTTTATTACATTTGATTTGCGAACAAATCCAGGAAATTATTTCACTTAGAAAGTTAAAAATCTCCTTCTTATTGTTATTCCAGAAACAATAACCGATGAAAGATAACGACTTACGTAACCACGACCAATTTAGAGAAACTATATATACGATGAAACCGTATTACGTTTATTACTTTACGAAAATTTTTCGTAACAATGCATCAATTCGCGTGTAAATTAAATTAAAAAATATATTCTACGATGCCCACAAACGATATTCGTCGACGAAACGAAGGCGTCACGTTTCTGTCGTAATAGATTATCGTTTATTAACATGCACGATGCAACATCGTAAATAAAGAAGTGGATAGAATATAAAGCGTTTAATCGACTCGTATAAATACATTTCAAAGATTTTTCTCGGTGACTAACTACCTCTATCTAAATGCACTTGGACTATTAAATCGAACTCACGATTTTAAATATAACTTTTACAGCTCGATACGAACACAGGATAATCGCGTTCGTTCCACGTTCTATCGTAACTATTATTTAACAATTTTTGCAAAAAAAAAAAAAAATCTCGTTAAAGACATGAAAGTGTTTGTAACGATTTTCTCAGTGAAATTTGGGTTAAGCATTAGGAATGATTATTTATTCGCGAAATAAGAACAAACGGGATCTGATATGAAAAAAAGACGACTTCCTCGTTTTCTCATCAAGTAGGAAGCAGTTACGTGTTTTCTGTTACGCGAAGCGGAAGCATCGCGAAGTATCGTGGGTTCGGTGGCCGGTCGAGGCTTCTTCGACGCGGTTGATATTTCTCCACGTGGAAAAAGAATAAAAGATACGCTTTGACTCTTTTATAAGAAATACACTTTATGAATTTCACCCTTTTTTCCTTTTACCTTTGAAAAGGCAATCATATGCTTCTAAGCGAACTATAATTTGAAACGTTAATGCAACACACCCTTCATTATCGTGTAAAATGCAAAGCTTATCTCCGTATAATCTTTCCGGAACCAGAAGTATCCAAACTATTATCTTTATTATTTTAGTGGATAATTTGCCAGTCGGATAATTTACTTGCGATTAACAAGTTTAACTCTCGATGAATATTGTTAAACGAACGAATATAAAGATTGAATATGAAACGAATGGCAGATCGTTTCGAAGATCGAGGTTAACATCTCGATCGGCCTCGTTTCATCGGGACACAAGATACGGAATTCGACGCGTGACATCTTTCACTTTGACGGAGAAAATTCGTTTCGCGCATACAAAGAAATCAAGTTTTGTGAATGGACCAGGTAATTCTTTCGGCCACTTTTGACCGAAAGGAAGAATCTCTTTAAAGGGGCGACGATTGACGAAACAGACGAAACGACGCGGAATATCAATGAAAAGACGAAGCCTGATTCGCATGACAAGAAACGGAGACACGCGACTCTTTACGGGATTCTTTTCAGAAACAATCGATATCATTGTTCGAGAAGGAGAAGAAGTATCGCGTTCGTTATCTCCAACAATTAATTTCAAATGAAGCTTATACTTAATTAGAGCAATATATTTAACTAAATCCAGTTAACGGATGATAATAACTTGCCATGCCTCGGCAATTTTTTTCTTTCTTTTTCGCTTTCGTTGAGCACATACGTGTTCGGTGTAATAACACGTAATTGATCTTCATTGACAGTATCTGTTCACGATACTGTGAACTACACGCGATAAAAATGAAAGATTCGATGAAAGTTCGTTCCGATAATAATGGAGAAAGCAAAGAAAGCTGCTTAATATTTTTTCATCGATTTCTTAATCGCGATACCCCATCGATTCTTCTTCTTACATTTCGAGAAATCATTCGTTAATCCAAATCCAAAGTCCAACTGTTCGCTTCAGATATCTTGTAGATATCTTTATTTACCAAAGTTTCTCTTTTTTTTCTTTTTCAAAAACCGCAGAAATTTTTTTTCGCCGCCAATCTCAAAGCGATATTACAAAACGTAAAAAAAAAAAAAAAAAAAGAAAAAGAGCCATCAGCCAAGATTGTTCCTAACATCACACGTTTTTTCGCTCCAGATAAAACACGCACGTTCATCCACGAACGGCGTGGAGGAAAAAGATAGCCGGCCGATCGGGGTAATCGATCTCGACAGGTAATTATTACGATCGGTTTGAAAATAAATCGATTCCGTCAGTCGGGTCGTCGCCGTACGTGTAACCGCCGTGGATCGTTGTGAAAAACGTCTGTTAAACGGCCTAATAATAAGATCACGAGAAATAACACGCAGAGAGGTTCGATCTTGGGAATCGAGGATGCGCCTGATCGAGATCGATTTGCGCATCGAGCACGCCGATCCAGCCGCTGTACAGTTATCCGTAATATCGGCATTCGTTTATCCGTGGCCGCTACTTACGGGTTATCCGCTCGCCTCTGCGGTAAGAAGGTTGTCCATATTATAAGTCATCCACCGTATGTGGGACACGTCTTCCATATGGTCGAAGAATGAACATCGTGTAACATCGCGTGTGTCGATAAATCGGTTTCGGGACAACGGTGATGAAAACCGTGACGTTAATGGGATTAAGTTCACGTCATATACAAGTATATTTATTTGTTAAAACGAAGATTCGTCTCATAGACTTCATCGCTCGATCCTTTCACAAAGGCGATTCGAATCTGGTTGGTTCGGAGAGACCCACTTGCGACACACTCGATCCCTGTCGCACTGGTGACAACACTTGGTGGATTCTATAATGAAATTCTTGTAACGGAATCGTAGACATCGTTCCCCACGCGATGCGAGAGATAGATTGTTCGATATGAAATAATCACACGATGATTCGATTTTAGAATAGGCACACAGTGGAACCGCGTATGGACGATGCAAGCATTCTTGCCTCTCTCTATACCCTTTTACATTCGTCGAGTCGTGTGATTAGAATGATTCTCATCTGTGCACCGAGCAGGCTTCTTGCCGCGTTTCGAATATCCGTTGGCCGCCGCAAATTGTGCGCCGATACGCGCCGCGAAATTACGCTTAATAAGAGCACGTCGATCGAACAAGAATTAGAGTTGGAGAGTATATTGAACGGTTCCTGCGTTTTCGCCTGCCTACCGTTCTTTTTGCTCGACATTTTGAAGCCTCGAGCGTTGTATATACATCTTGGTGCATCGTTTGGATCATTCGTAATCTCGTTTCACGATCGAAAGTTGCGCGTTCTGGGTGGTCTAGGGTATAGAAATAACGTGCAAGTCTATCGAGGAAAAATAGAACGAACGAAGAGTGTGTTGATAGATCGATCCGATGATGATTCGATCTCGTGGAACTTGATGCGGATCTAGATAACGAAAAGCACAGAAATCGTAACAGTGGACGAGATATGAAATACGTCCACCTTTCTCTCTCTCTCTCTCTCTTTCTCCCTCTTTCATTTCATTCAAACATCGAGTTTGAACAATTTTTGTTGAACAACTTTCTAGTGAAAGGAAACGTTTGAAATTTTATCTTCGAAGTGAGAAATTTCCGACGTGTTTGCTTTTTGATTTCGATGATCGAAAACGTATAGAAGCCTCGAGATAAAGTCAATTACAGACGCGTGTCCAGCGGCTGTGATTACACGCGTTATGAATGAAATACTAGCGTACACGCTTCGAGCGATCCGAGACAAACATCGTCGATCTTGCACCAAGATACAAGGCATAGACATTCACGGACAAATTTTAGCGTTTACGTCCGATCTTTAATCACGCTGGCGCCTAACGGAGACCACACTATTATTTAGCCGTTCGTTGAACGCGAAGAGGGGCTCGATCCAACTGTAATTCCAGCGTTGTCTTAGAGATACGGGAGAGAACCCTCTCGTTCCTTTGTACCGATTAATGCAGCAAAAAATCGACGTATCACAGGAAATGCGAGGATACCTTTTTTCTTTTTTTTTTTTGTTCACCGATTTACACACGGATGAGAAATGACGGATGGATGGTCTTCTCCGCATCTAATCCAATTTGATTAATTTAATCCTCGCGTTTAAATGAAATACGATGATGGAAAGGGTGTATTTATTAACAGCAAAGATCATAAATAATAGAATCGCGTAGATAAAGGAATTCTTTTCTTGCGCGACGAGGAGAATGTTTAATTCATTACGCGCAGATGTTAAAAAAAATTTCATTAGCATTCTATTAATTTATTAATAGAAATTAACAAGCCAAAGAAGAGAAAACTTGCCATATATAATGAAAGCACGGAATCAACAAACGTATCTTTTCCCCGAGAAGAGAAAAGATTTAACGATCGTCGTTTAATCGGGAGCTGAATCAAGGAGGAATTTTTACGAGTTTCGAGAGAGGGACTCGAAGAAACCCGTCTTCTTTCTTAAAAAAATACGTATAAAAAGTAACTGTAAATCCGACACCGTTCAAGCCACTCCTCCCGTTCAACTAATATCGACTGTTTTCGTGATATACTCATCGTTAGTTCCACCGAAGAAGCATAAATTCACGAGTTATACATTCACTGTTCTAATTATTATTCACAGACAATCAAATGCATCTGCTTCCGGGTATTGTGTTTCGTCTTTTAGAAACATTCGAAAGTGATGCGCCTCTTAATTAATACCCTCTCTCCACCAATTTTCAAAAACGAAGTTTTTTCAAAGACCGCGTTAAAAAATTGTTCTTTACTCACTTTCACAGATTACAACAATTAAAAGATTCGTTGATCGCTAATCGACGAATATTTCGATATCTTCACGAGCAAACGAAGACGGCTTTTAGACAGGCAAAGTAGAATAATGAAGATCCGTCGAGGTTTCGCGTAATTTGCAATGATAATGAGGCGTCCGATTAATTTAAGCGAACCAGAGGGTATTCGAAGCGGTGGTAATAGATAGGCGTAATCGTTTAATGTGTGTGTGTGTGTGTTGTGTGTGTGTATGTGTACCTACCTTGGAAAGGCTAGCCTGAGGTCGGCTCTGAGCTTGTTCAGAAGCTCGCTAACCGAGGTGAATTGTCTCAAGGTCATCTCTCCGCTTCCGGAAGCGTAACCGGAACTCGAACTGGTTGTCGACGGCAGGTACCCTGCGAGTCTTGAACACTTCCTAATGGACGTCTTCCCCATCGTCTCAGAGCGATCGCGTAGTCCTCGGCGTTGTACGTAGGTGGTCTTAATCGTTCCTGCAAGAAAATCGCAAGGCTCTAGACATAATTGCACGCTCGTCCGGTTCGATATCGAGGCAAAAGATAGCCGTGATCGAAGAAAGAAAGAAAGAAAGAAAGAAAGAAAGACGGTAGCCTCGGGTCTGATTTATCCCTTCGAGATCTCGACCGCGTCGAGACAGTCGCCGTAATTAAACGACCGGCGATTCGACTACCTACCGCTTCTGAATAATCGGGATAATACGATATTAAGTAACGTTATAAACATTTTCAAGTAGAAATTAAGAGTGTGGAAGATGGAAGAACAGCGGCCAACGTTTCTTCATCCCATCATTTATTTTTCCACCGAGACTGAAACGAGAAATCATGGAAATTGCAGTCGCGTTTTGTCGCGAATGAAATATTCATGCGAGGGAGTAGAAGGATGAAAGACTAAAGTTAATTTCACAGCGTTTCCAATCATAAATACGGATGGAATTATAGCGATTATCGCCTCGTGGTCCATGGAACGCCGCCCATTATCCCCGTTGAAACGCGGATAAATCGTGGAAATTAATTTACCGCCTCCATCTCGTGCCACCGTGAAACATAGAACCGGTATAATTACGTCTCGAAGGGGGTTAGAACTCGTATATCTCTTTCCGATTCCCTTCAATCAACTTTTCGAATCAGTTGGCTCGGAATCGAGGATATCGAGAAACAATTTATCGGTCGATTTGTTTCGAAGGTCGCTTTCTACGAACGAGCATCCACAAGAATACCACGAATATTTGACGCGGATGAAACCACACGCTACATTGTGGTTTCCTTCGCGCGGTTAATCGATCGGTCTTAAACGTGAAACCGAGTTTCTATCTCGCGGTTACCCGCCGTTCTTCCTTCGTACGCGAAAAAAATGAGCAGAGCCGCCTCTCCACCGATCCCACAGTTCCGCACAGGAAATCTGTTGCGCATCGGATGTACGATTTATTCAGACGTGCACGCGATCCTCCGAGTGGAGAACAGTCGCGATCAATCATCATCCTCGTTTGTTACTGAAATCGACGGAGGATGGTGACGGACCATTATCGTTTGATGAATACAGGGCTGGCTGTTAACGATGTATTCTTTCCTTTTTCTTCTTTTTTTCCTTTCTTTCTTTTGAAAAACGACAAAGTAATTAGAGTTCCTTTCCGGGATGCGCGGACATGGACGCGAATCGTCTAACGACGATCATGATTGAGTAGAGGGGTGCATAGATCAATCATATTTTCATTTTTTCCGTCCAACGTGAGCGTGAAACGGGATCTCGGGAGAAGGAAATGAGGTTATGAGAGGCGAAAAAGGACCTGGTCGTAAGCGTGTGCAATTATGCGAGTAATTAGGCGACACGTCGACCAAAAGAACGATAACGTTGCTACTCTTATAATCTTATATACTTGCGAAGGATTCGTGCGAAACAAAACAAAATCACGCGTAACCTACATATACGAGGACGTCACGCTTTCTTGAATCGCGTAAATACTCTTGCGAATACTTGTCAATACTTTCGTGTCGTTTATTTAACTGAACCAGTTATGGAAAAAAGAGAAAAAGATCCGCTCGCGGATGGAAGCGCGAATGGAGAACGCTGCGTTTTCGAATATACACCGCTTGATCTAATTTCAAACGCGCGCGTTTACTTGACGCGCTCTTTTCAATTATCAACTAGAGTGAAAAGTTCGAATGTTGGTAAAAGTTGCGCGACTTTCACGAACATTCGAGTACGGTTTTCCAATCGGTATCTAAGCGTGTCGAGCGTTTGTTAATCATCCTATTGTGATGACGTAAATCTCTCATTAGCGGGAGAACGTTATTTCTTTTTCATAATATTAAAAAGAAAAAAGATGCAACGGAATCTCTTCCGATAATTAAGGTCAGGAGTCGCTCGTAACACGTATGGCATAAATCTCATAAGATAAGATTTGC